TATATATATTGTATATTGTATGTGTGTATATACTGTATATATCATGTGGATTTTATCATCTATGTGAATAACAACAGTTTACCATTAACATCTGAAAGTGCAATACCTGAATGACAACCAGAGCTGTGCAGAGATGTTTGTTATTTGCAGCTATAGATCTGCCATTAACACCATATAGTCAATACCATCAGATATGTCAGTAGCATATCCATTCAAATGTTTTATTAATCACATTCTTATGTCTGTTGTGTGTGACAGTTTTAGATCAGATAGACAGACATAGAGTCATTGATAAACTTTTATCAATGTTATCATTGATAAAGTGTTAAGAATAAAGCTACATATGAAAACTCATCCCAAATAGATTTGTATACCCCAAACATCTAATAACCTGACAGGAAATGACAAAAGGAAAGTGTGGCACTGAACCCCTCATACTAAGTTCAATCAGAGCAGTTCTCTATTTGAAAATCAGCAGTAGCCACAAAATGCCTGAAAATATTTATATAAATACTCTCCTGCGACATAATCCAGGATCAGCAGCGAAAGATCAAAGTAAGTGAATTTTTTTCCTCCCTAATTTGATATTTTATGTAATTAGAGTAAACTGACTGAATGTGCATAGAAAATCAGATACGTGTTTCAGAAACATTGCTACATGAGACTAACATAGTATTCTTTCTGTTTGTAATTTACTTTAGTGTTCTGAACTTTAAATTAGTTTTATATGCTATCTGTTTTTCTTTCTCTTCATATGTAACACTTAACAACATTATTCACATTTTGAAACTGAGTTAATAAAACTTTTCCACTTCAGAGGTCTTCTTTTTTAACAATATATTGCAATTGCGTGTACTGATGATTACCTCAGCGGACACATGACATGACCCTGTGGAACCCCATATTTAAAAAATGACTGTTGACAGTTTTAGGTCAACCACAATAACCTGCGATCTGCCTGACAGAAAATGCTTTAAAGGTGTATGACCTTAAACTATGTTGATTTGTTTTGAAGGCTATTCGTTTCTGTAATAATAGTTAGTGTATTTACAGATAAGAAGTGTGTCAGCAATAAGAGGGATGGTGTCTATATGGTGGTCCTTCTCTCTGTTCTCCTCTTCCTGTCTCTGCTGGCTAATGCAGTGTTGGCTTACCTGTGTGAGTGTCCTAACATAAATTGTATTTGTATATGTTGTGTTACTGTGTATTGGTTTCTCTATTTTATGCTTCACAGATTACACCAGTAACACAAATCAGTTGATAGGATGTGAGCCAGTGAAAAACAACTCAAATCTAGGTTTGTAAACCACATTTTCTTATTTTATTATAAATCAATATTTCATTTCTAATTAATTTCATATAAATTAATTGATTATATAATTGGTTGACTCTTTAAACATTTCTTCTAAATACTATAACACAACCGCATAAGTCAACCAGCCATCACTTCCCTGTTATTATAAGGGTATGTCACTACCTATCAACATATTTGGCATGTACACAATTTTCTCTATGTTCCAGTTAATATACAGTACAGTATATAATTTGTATATGAGCCGTTCTACAGAATTGGTCAGAGTTGGAGAGTCTTTGGTAACCCCAACTTGGTAAATGTTGCAATTACCATTAACTAAGATTAATACTGTAGAAGCATTGTTCATGCTTAGTTCATGTTACCTAAAGTAGTTAACTAATGTTAACTAATTAACCATATTGTAAAGTTTTACCGAGTCTTTTTCCAGAAATGTACTATGTATGCAAAATGTAGGTTACACTTTATTTTAATGTGTGCTTGTTACAGTGCAATTATACATATAAGTACTGAGTAATATTAATTAACTACATGTACTTACTATATGGTTAGGATTTGGGTTTGGCTTAGGGTTTCTTGCATGCAATTATGCATAATTAATTGTTATTATAATAGTAAGTCATGTAACGTGTAACAAGGACACCTTAAAATAAAGTGTTACCAACATGTATAATATCCAAGGTACATATTTCTAGTAATTGTGCAGTTAATTCTCATATTGTATTTTCGGAAAGTTTTGGAATATTTTTCCTCTCCACAAATTTGTCACTACGAAATACACAATACTATATAATTTAATAAGAAGGGTTATATTGTCATATTAATATTTTGTTTACATCTTCCTTGTAAATATATTTTTTGCTATTTTATTAAAAAGTTTTCACAGGTAAATCAATAAAAATTACAATTTTAACAATATTTCAAATGTAATGTATAAGATTATTTTGTATTTTGAATCCAATCTTTCTTTGTAAGAGGCATAAAGTTAATCATACTGATTTCAAAGTTAAAGGTGATCAGTTATTCAAAAACCACTTTTATAAGGTGTTTGAACACAGTTGTGTGGCCGCAGTGTGTGAAAACAACCAGCCTATAATGGTAAAAATCCACAAAATCATAATTTTTATAATCCCAATAAATCATAAGCAGTCTCTCGAGCGGTTCCAGATTTCACCCTACGTTGACGTCTTCGTAGGGAAAAAGTCCTGCCCATTTGTGATGATCTCTGCCCTATTAGCATAGACACCGCCCTGAGTGAGAAGTAGCTGCTGTAACTGCTGGAGAGATACAATATCAGCGCCAAAGATGCTTTGCTAGTGTTGTGTTTCGGGATGCACCAACGAACATAGGAGTCTCCATAGACTCTTTCCTTCTGAGCCGCTGAGGACACAGTGAGTGGTTACATTTCATTTTCAAAGGAAATGTCCCGGAAAAAACCGCTAAAGTCCTATATGTTTGTGCCAATCATTTTACTCTGGACTGCCTCACAAATCAGGGTCAGTTTAGCGCTGGAGTTGTGCAAAAGTTGCTTCTGAAAGAGGGATCAGTTAGCAATTAGCACAAGCTCATATGACAACTGATTCCACAATCCTGGAGCAGTGACTGCAAAGGCTCTGTCTCCTTTTAATTTAAGTCGTGACCCAGGGACATGTAGCTTTATTAGCAGACCTGGGCATTGAATGCAAATAAATAAGATCAGAAATATAAGATGGAGCTTGTCCATTAAGAGCTTTGAAAACAAGTAAAATCTTAAACTAATCAGTACATGGTTACTAGCACAGTTGTACACACATACAAACTAAGTGTTATGAAATAACACCCATGATTCACCTATATCCTCCTGACTACCATGAAAAAACAGTTTTGTGAATTTAGTATTTTGTCATGTCATTACATTGTTTAGAGCATAAGAACATTTTTGAAAAATAAAATTTTGAAAAATGATATTTTATTCATATGTTATGCCATGTCCTCTGTAGAGGACATCGGGACTTTAAAAAGTCCTGTTTTAAAAAAATAAAAAGACATGAATAGACATGAAAAGGCAAAAAGAGTGGGATTTTTGTTTTAACCAGAAATCAATTTTCATTTTTTTATACCAAACTTTATATAAAGATGATTCTCAACTATGTTATGAAAGATATTTATAAAAACCATTTTTCTTTATGCAAAATGTGTGTAAAATGGCCATAAACAAGTTTTTCCATTATATACAGAAAACAATAAGTAAAATCTTAAACTAATCAGTACATGGTTACTAGCACAGTTCTGAACAGTTGTACACACATACAAACTAAGTGTTATGAAATAACACCCATGATTCACCTATATCCTCCTGACTACCATGAAAAAAACAGTTTTGTGAATTTAGTATTTTGTCATGTCATTACATTGTTTAGAGCATAAGAACATTTTTGAAAAATAAAATTTTGAAAAATGATATTTTATTCATATGTTATGCCATGTCCTCTGTAGAGGACATCGGGACTTTAAAAAGTCCAAACAAGTTTTTCCATTATATACAATGTATCTATAAACTGTATCTAATTTGCATATTAATGTGTTTTGGGGGCAACATAGAATGAACAAATAAGTGCAATAATAGGAGTAATAATGAGCAAGATTTTCATAATATCTCACATTTAATAGGAATATTGATACATAATTTTTTCTCTATTCATTTGTTGTGTCTCCCAAAATGTGTAATAAACATGCTTTAAGTCCTGGTGTCCTTTACAGTGGACATGTATGAAACTGATGTCCTGTTTCATAACAGAAGGTCATATTTTGATTTGAAACCCCATAATATTTTCCTGAGATGTTGATTTATGACAAACAATTTGTCAATTAGTCAGATTTAAATGAATAATATTAAAATATTTGTAATTACAAAATATTATCATATTTCCATTAGGGTGTTACATTTGATCATTAAATGAATGTCAGCCATTTTTAAAGACCAAAGAGAGGGAGTGGTCATGGTCAAACATCCAATCATTTGGTATCTCTGAAAAGCCCTGAATGTGCTGTACAGGAGATCCAGACTTAAAACTGTGACATGTAACGTCTCAGAGAAATCGCTAAACACATAATGTCCTCTACAGTGGACAAAACTCCATAGCTGGTAGTCAGGAGGATATGATTCACTGAAGAAGGCTTGCTGCCCGAAACGTCTGATTGTTGTTTGCTCTGTTGCAAAATTTAAATAAATTGAAAGTGATTAAGAAGATTAAACGAGTGCGGATCCCTTACTAGAATACGATGTTGCTGATTGATCTACGCACCCAAGACTAAAGTTGAGCGCAGTGAATTGTATTTTTTTCTGGATTAGATATATTTTTTTAAAAAATCATTAATTAGCAGTTGAACAGGTGTAGCTAATAAAGTAGCTGGTGAGTGTACATTGAATATGCATACATACTGTACATACATTATTTGTGTACATACATATGAGTGCTATGACAAATTCCTGTGGCCTCCACAACCGCTTCGCTCCACTCTGCGAGACGGAATGCGACGCTGTGATCGTTGGAGACTCCATCGTCCGGCACGTCCGTGCTATGTTAGCTGAAGGTAAAGTGCACACTCACTGTTTCCCTGGTGCTCGTGTTCTCGATGTTTCTGCGCAGATACCCGCGATCCTGACGCACCCAAGACTAAAGTTGAGCGCAGTGAATTTTATTTTTTCATGAAATAACACCCAGAAAATTGTGCTTAATTGCAGAAAAAAGATGTTTGGTAGTGACGTTTCTTAAAGTTACACACAGATTTTTAGACTTTTGAACACATTTACCTCAAAATGATGGGACCAATCTACTCACCATGTAGCCATGAGAGAGAGGGACACAGGAATAATTCCTGGTCATCAATTTAGGGGTGTAGTTAAAATCAGTCTCAGCCAATGGACTAAAACATACACTGTTTCGGTAGAGACATGAAAAAACAACAATGGAAAAAAATGCAAAAATTATTTCAATATCATTTTCATAAGTTGAAATTTAGGGTTATGGTTAGGGACAGCCACCTCCCAATTGAAAGTACCCAATAAATTATCATTGTATATATATTAAGCTTACTGATATTTTAAATATTATTATGGGTTAGATAATAGAAGGATCTTAATAAACATCTAAGATTTGAAAATTTAAAAGCTTTCTTTAAATGTGTTTTTTGCATGTGGGACAGCAGTTTGCTCCAATTCTGTAGAATGGCCCATATATATATATATATATATATATATATATATATATATATAGGATGTACATTTGTTTTTTTAACTGAGAAATTATTCATTCTGCCATTTAATGAGAATTCATAGACATATAATTACAGTAACCCTCAATTAACACAGAATAATCTTTCACTTCAGGTTTGCCAGAGAAGTGGGTCCAGGACAAGGGGAGATTCTATGTTTTCTCCAATGATACAAAGGACTGGAACAGCAGCAGACAATGCTGTCAGGATCTGGGTGGAGACCCGGTCATCATCAACAGCAGTGAGGAGCAGGTGCATATAGAGAAATATAATATTATTATATTATATGATTAAATTAGTTGTGGTTTTGTTAAAGCTATATTGCTTTTAGTTTTAGTTCGTTTTTTTTGCTTTTTTCGCAAAGGTACTGTGGCTAGAATTTACACGCTGAAGGGAGAACCTTACTCACAAGGCACCAAAATATCACAGAAACCTATGGGTTGGGTTTGTTTTAAATGCAAGGTTGCAAAGGTCTAAAAACTATGCAAACACTTTATCAGCCACATTGCAAGACTCAGTTGCCCATTATACCAAACCTTGAGTTGCATTGTACATGCTAAATGATTAAAGTCATATTTCTGCCCTGGGCCTTTTCAGGAATTTCTTGCTCAGCAAATAGTCACTTTTAATGCATTGGTGCTACACTGGATCGGTCTGACTGACCGCCAGACTGAGGGAGTATGGCTTTGGGTGAACAACACTCCCCTAAACAACAACGTCTCGTAAGTACCATTTTATTTCAACATCTGATGTGCTTAGCATTGCCTCTTTGTTAGTTGGCACAAGTTATCTAAGGACCGTATGGATTTTTGATATGGGTTACTGCCCTGACATTTGTTTTGTCCTGTCAGATGGTGGATCTTCCCTCCTGACAATGATGATATGCATGATCCCATGGGTGAAGACTGTGCTGTAATAAATGGATATCTAAAAGGAGAAAAATGGGGAGATATTTCTTGCTTGAAAATGCAAAGAAGCATCTGTGAGGTTCCGTGATCTTGATCAGTACTACAGTACCTACAATCTTAAAAATAAAGGTTTCAAAAAGGGGATTTTCAAAGTGATGTCATAGATAAACTACTGCTGGTCCTCCAAAGAACCTTTCAGTAAATCTTTTTTAAAAGAGCCATTTTTAGTGTGAAGAATATTATAATATAATAATCTAAACAACCTTTTTCCACTGTAAATAACCTTTTGTGGAATGGAAAGTTTTGGATGACAAAGGTTCTTTTGCTACTTCATGACTTTCAATATCACTATTATATATAATAATATATTATATCATATATACAATACAGTGTAGAATCTGTGTAGCTCTTTATAAAGACTAGATTTACATTCTTTATTTTGTAATTATTGTTAGCAGCATTGGCCACTTGTGCATATACAACATGAGGGAACAAATAAAAAGACATGAATCAATGGATTCAATGGAATCAATCAATGAATACACTGGATACAGCATTAAGTGAAGGTGTGCTTATATGGTTATGCCGAATGTGTCATATTATTTATACATTCTAAAGCCTCCATCCACCTTATTTTGCATTGCGGAAGTAAGCTTCTGATTCATCAGCTGCTATTATAAATAACTAGAAGAATAGCTAAGTGCAGTAAACAGTATATGCTACAAACCAGTGTGTTAATAATTATGACAATAAATTAAAATAATATCAACATCAAATAGCAATATCAAACATCATAACGAGCGGATGAAAGCTTTATAGACCGCGCTCACTCTACCCTTAAAATCAAGGTGGATAATATTCACATGATGTAGAGGCCCGTCCCCAGCTATGACTCTCAGAGTGGTTGAGACAGTTGAGGAGGTGGATGGTGGGTGCTTGCCAGGGTGGGCAAATGTTCATGATTGGGTGGCCCAGGCCCCCTGTGAATCTTGGTCTTATGATTGATACTTACCTGATTTTATAATTTATGTCTTCACCCTCAGACCATCCAAGTTGTAAATGAGTTTGTTTCTTCATCAGAACAGATTTGGAGAAATTTACATTACGTCATTTACTCATCAATGAATACACTGCAGTGAATGGGTGCCGTCAGAATGAGAGTCCAAACAGCTGATAAAAGCATCACAATAATCCACATGTAATCCGCACAACTCCAGTCCATCGGTTATGTCTTGTGAAGTGAAAAACTGCATGTTTGCGATTTTAAAAAATCATGATTAATACTTTTTTAACTTCAAACTGTTGCTAATAAAAGCTGATCAGCTGTTGGATTGTCATTTTGACGGCACCCATCCACTGCAGAGGATCCATTAGTGAGCAAGTGATGTGATGCTAAATTTCTCTACATCTTGGGTGGTGTGAGGGTGAGCAAATTCTACTATTCCTTTAAGAAGTAGTAGGACTTTTACTACTAATACATGTCCATGTGACACATCTTTTTGCTGGGAAATCTTTGCTGATTTTGAGAAAGTAACAGCAAGAAGAAGCACACTGTTATTAATACTTAAAAATGAATATTTACTGAACTAAAACATGCTGATTTTATATTCAATACATTATTTGTAAGAAAACAGAGTTATTTGAGGAAGACCTATGTTTATTGTAATAATCATTGATTGATTGATTGATCAATCGATCAGTGGTTTTTATTCCAACTCACACTAACAGGTACCAACAGAGTAAAATAAGAGTGCAAACACATTTAGCTACATTCTGTTTGTTTCCTCATTAAATTAAGAATGACATGATCCAGTCTGACATTTTTTTCTTTCAATGACCGAGCAGTCAGAACTAGCACAAGGCAGTAGTTGTCTATAAAAAAAATATTCTTCATCCCAACATCTGGCTCAATTTACCCTCTGGTTCAACTCAACCTACAATAACCTTTTTGAAAAAAAAAAAAAAAGTCCCTCATACGTACTATAACCCTGAACTAAATAACCGTACTGTGGTATAAGGTGACAAGTAACCTACATATTGTTGAATGTAGATTGTGTTTTAATGGAATGTTTGTCTAAAGGTCTGTGGTTGCTGCTGCCTTATCACCTTCACTTCTATCTGTGTGAAATGTGAACAGCAAGAAGCTCCCCTCCAGTTCAGTAAGAGAGGGGCGATAAAGAAAGCCTTGCTTCTTTCCAATAGACTGCATCAGTATTAAATTAGAGTAATATCAGAGTTAAATTAGAGCAAAATTTCATCAATTAGGTAAAACCATACACAGCAAGTGTTCAAGAAGTAATGTAAAGAAGTAAATAAAAATGTATCATTCACTGTTTGAGATGATGCCCCTAACAACTAATAACAAACTGACAGGAAATGATGGCAGGAAATATCACTGCTAAAGTAGTTAAACCCCTTCAGTGAGAATACTTCACCAGATCCTCTCTTCATTTCTCACATATTTGCAAAAGATGCCTGAAGCTATTTATTCCAACACCATTCCAAGATCCATCTCAAGATCAGCACATAAAGTTGAAAGTAAGTGCTATTTCACAGCTTTTTTATTTTATTTATTTTTTTGGTGAATTGTTTCAACATTTTCATTTCAGTTTTTAAATGTTATTTATTTTTTCTTTTAGATAGAAATTGTTTCATTGATCAGAGAGAAGCTATCTGTATGGTGCTTTTTCTCTCTGTTCTCCTCTTCCTGTCTCTGCTGGCTAATGCGGTGTTGGCTCACCTGTGTGAGTATCCTCATGTTTTACATGTACACTTTATGTGGCAGTGTGTATAACACATAATAATAACAATTATTATTATTGAAGCAAACTGTTTTTTTTTTTTTCTCACATGCCACTTGATTTAATTTGAGGGTCAGTCAGAATTTGTGTAAAATTGTTATATAATATTTTCCACAACATTCACACTAGAATCTTGAAATGGTTTGTGTTTATTCCGCTGTTTGTTCAGATCATCCTGGATTTTTTTTAAATATTATTTTCTGTTAATTTGGTGTCTAAATTGGGGGGAATGTCTCTAATTTGGTCTCAACTTTTCATCTCTCATATATTTTTATACAATGTATACAACAAATACAAAATGTAAGTTCAAAACAGAAGTCTTTTTAATTTGTATTACAGATTATAGCAATGGCCTAGACTGGCTAATAAGTTGTGAACCAGTAAAGAGCTGTTCAGATCAAGGTAGACAAACTCCTCATCTTCTCCATTTACGTGACAATACAGATAGTAATACTCAATGTTCATTTAGAAGTTCATTTATAATTGTGTTTATTTCTATGCTAGATGTTGACCACAATGCTCAAATTGAACCGTTCCTTCACAAGGATATGGAAAACAGGTCCCAAGCACATCACTGTCCCCAAAAAAGCAAGTCAATTTATTTTTCATGTCAGTATAAAGAAGAGCATATATTAGAAACATTATAAACGAAGTCTCACTGCTCATGTGCCATACAACAGTTTTATACAGCACAGTTACATTAAACATTAAGAAATGTTCATGTAAGATTTCCCAGAGAAGTGGGTCCAGGACAAGGGCAGATTCTATGTTTTCTCCACTGATGTGATGAACTGGAACAGCGGCAGACAACGCTGTCAGGATCTGGGTGGAGACCTGGTCATCATCAACAGCAGTGAGGAGCAGGTTTAGATATATAATATGATTATTAGAAAAATCTCATATGTGCATTTGATATAATAAATGAAGCATATTAAATCAATCTTTATTTCGTAGAAATTTCTAGCAAATCTAATACACGCTATTGGCGCACAAACATTATATTGGATTGGTCTGACTGATAGACACACGGAAGGTGTATGGCTGTGGGTGGACGACACCAAGAATCATCTTAAGCAAGTATTCATTTAAATGTCTGTTGATACATGCATCAGAAAATTCTGTTTGGAAGCCATTTAGATAAGAGCCTGTCTAAACATCTCATCAATTATTCATTCACTTGTTTTTAATTTATAAATGTTTTATTTGTCAGTTTCTGGGCACTGCCTCCTGATGATCACAAATCAGCTGACAATCCTCTGGGTGAAGATTGTGTTGTATTGAATGGACGAATGTTTGAGGCAAAGTGGGGAGATGTTTTTTGCTTGAGGGAGGAGAGAAGCATTTGTGAAATTCCATGTTGTTAATGAATATTTTCTTGATAAAATGTCATGTACACATCCATAGAAATGCGCTTTCTGCAAGCCCCCATACAGTAATGTACAATAAAGATTATTAGGGATAGTTCACCCAAAAATGAAGATTCTGTCATTAATTACTTACTCTCACCTTCGTTCATCTTCGGAACACAAATTAAGATATTTCTGATGAAATCCGAGAGCTTGATAGCCTGTGACATCAGTTCAACCGTAATTTGATCTGTAAATGTATTTCAACATTTGTTATTTCTGATATCTGAAAATGTATTTCTGATATCAATATAATTTCTGATATCTAAAATGGCCTTCTTACTACAATCACATTCACGATATCAGAAATTAACATTGTCACTAGTGACAATCAAATTATTGATATCAAAAATTAAAATGTTATTATCAACTCAATTGTTTATATCAAGAATAGCCATTTGCACTAGTAACAATGCAATTACTGATATCAAAAATCAAGGTTTTTACTAGTAAGAATTGTATTTCTGATATGTAAAATTAGAATAGAATACACTGTAAAAAATGATCGTGAATTGACCGTAAATTCCCCTACTATATACGGTGAAAAACTGTATTGGACATTACAGATATCAAGAATTATAGTTTTTACTAGTTGAAATTTAATTGTTGATATCAAGAATTTGTATTACTGCAAGTGATGATGTCACTGTTGATATCAAGAATTCACATTTTTACTTGTAGAAATTCAATTCCTGATATCAAGAAGTAGCATTTTAACTAGTGAAAATTGAATTGTTGATATCAAGAATTCATATCCTGCTAATGAATTAAAGTCAAAACGACTTGCCATAAATACACATCAGAAAAAAAAAAAAAAAAACTGTAAACACCAAAAAAAAGGGTTCAGTCTGTTAGAAAAATCTTTAAACCAAGAAAAAAAGAAAATACAATTACAGATATCAAGAATTATAGTTTTTACTAGTTGAAATTTAATTGTTGATATCAAGAATTTGTATTACTGCAAGTGATGATGTCACTGTTGATATCAAGAATTCACATTTTTACTTGTAGAAATTCAATTCCTGATATCAAGAAGTAGCATTTTAACTACTGAAAATTGAATTGTTGATATCAAGAATTCATATCCTGCTAATGAATTAAAGTCAAAACGACTTGCCATAAATACACATCAGAAAAAAAAAAAAAAAACTGTCAACAGTACAACATGTCTGGAAAATCGGCCAGCATCATAACTAATAATGCTGACAGGAAATGCCATTCGGTTTGCATGAGCGTGTCTGTTTAGTGTGTCTTCACCCACAGTGTGACACCTGTTTAGTGTGACACCCACAGATCAGAGCACTTCACCACCTTTCTGCAGCACACTTCTCTATTTGACAATAATGGGCAAACATGACATGTCTGATCATATTTATGACAACACCAACTGGATGAAAAAGGATTCATTTGGAAGTAAGTGCTTGATTCTTGTTCTCCTTGATAATAATTAATTATATTACATATATAGCCATATATAGGCTAATGTTTTATCAGCTTTTTTTTTCTTTAAATACTGACCGTTTCAAACCCACACAAAAAAAGTTGGAGAACTGTGTAGGAGGTTTGTTGGTGCAAAGGACACGTGATGCTTTATTCTAATAAATTAAAGTAATTTAGAGCTTGCTTAAGTATTAGTTTTAAACTTACTTTATTTTGTAGTTAGGAAATCTGCCAAAGAGAAGCAACGTAGACCTATCCGTGCCAAGGTTCTTGCTGCTCTCCTCATCCTGTCTCTGCTGGTTAATGGAGTGCTGGCATACTTGTGTGAGTATCCTCGGATTTCACAGGAACCGCCAACCAACTACATACAGTGGTATATTTACACTTCCTTTTACATTTTATGTCTTTTGCAGATGTCACTAAATACAAAAATGTGCTGATGCATTGCGAGCCAGGAACAAATTGCTCAAATGCAGGTAAATCATTCACGTCTATCTGCTCAAATTTTATATGATAATTAACTGACAGTATCTTTGTTTTTCTCAATTCCTCACACCCCTATTCAGACCATGATCAAGGTAGTCCGGGCTGCATATATGATGAGGACTGGAGGTCAATAAACTACTGCCCAGGTCAAACTATGTTTGGTTTTTCAGTAAAATATCAGTCTTGAGTGCTTGAGTCTGTGCTTTTGCTCATGTTCTTTCTGAGCCTTGCCGTATGTCTGTTCTTGTGTTTTTAACAGTGAGTCATACCAAAATATGATCAAAAAACATTTATGTATGTAAAGGTGCAGTTGAGCAGGGTTTTTTTTTTCCAACCTTTAGATGTGTTTCTAGCTAAACCACAAGCCTGAAACGCAGACACACAAATGCGTTTCCTCTTTATAAACATAGAAAACTGTCTCTGTAGATTTGCCAGAGCAGTGGTATAAGGGCAACGGCAGATTTTACGTTTTCTCCAGTCACAACAAGACCTGGAGCTCCAGCAGAAAGTATTGTCAGGATCTGGGTGGAGATCTGGTCATTATCAACAACACAGAGGAGAAGGTGTGTAACTTTGTGTTCTGCATGGTTTTAAAAGAGGAAGAAATGTACGAGAAGTGGGTCCAGGTGTGAAAACCCACAGTGTGTGTTCACAAATACAGTGTTGAGACAAGGGTAAAATAGTTACATGACATATTGTTCTTATAATAGATATTTTCGTTAATAAAACCATGCGCAAATCATTTTTGTAAGAAAGATTTCAAATTATAAATAGCATTATAAATAAAACCAATGTTTTTAAAAGAGGAGCAAACATGAGAGAAGTGGGTCCAGATGTGAAAACCCACAGTGTGCGTTCACAAATACAACACTTAAGCAAGTGTAATAATCACATCACATTTTGTTCTTATAATAGATATTTTCGATAAGCTATACATAAAGACTTTAATAATAAAGATTTCACTGATCATTATGAATTAAAACATGTTTTTAAAAGAGGAACAAATGTGAGAGAAGTGGGTCCAGGTGTGAAAACCCACAGTGTGTTTTCATAAATAAAACACAGAGGCAAGTGTAAAATAGTCACATTACATATTGTTCTTATAATAAGCTTTTTTATCAACCCAGTTTCATAAAAATACGTACCTCTGTGTACATTTCTGCAACACCGTTTTTATGTACCTTACTGCACGTTTCGCCGCAGTTTCAAAGAGAAATGTCCACTGAGTGGCGCTAAAACACGGGTTCAATACGTCCACCCTGGCACGTTTTTATTACGTTGATATAGGTACGTATTGCTGCGTTTTTATTGCGTTTCTTCAGGTACGTATTGCAGTGGTTCAGAAATCAAATATCCGGGGACTGTCGCTAAAAGTTGGAGATATGCCCTACACCAAGCCCAACCCTAAACCTACCCGATAGTGTTAACAAATGCAAAACTGATATAAAAACACATTTTTTGATGCAACCGTGCCATTTTAACTTCCTTATGTGCAGATTTGAACTGTTTTGTCGAACCGTAGTTACACGGGATTCGAAATGGAGCTCCTCACCTCTCAAATTCATCTCCGTACTCCGTGTGCTACCGAACAAACCTACCGTCTATGAAAACCCATAGATATGAAGCTGGATATGTGCAGTGCTAAAAATCTCCCAGCATATTAAAAATGTTTGAACCGTAGTTACACGGGATTCGAACTGGAGCTCCTCACCTCTCAAGTTCATTTCCGTACTCCGTGTGCTACCGAACAAACCTACCGTCTATGAAAACCCATAGATATGAAGCTGGATATGTGCAGTGCTAAAAATCTCCCAGCATATTAAAAATGTTTTGAAGTCACAACATAATACTCTTCAAGTAATTGTGCGAAAATTACGCTTTATTAATCAAAACTCTGTAAATCATACTTTGTGTGAAAATAATTTAAAAGGTGTCGGAGTTTTACTGCCTCTAGTGTTCATTTATTTTGGAAACTGCAGTGATATGTACTTATTGGTACGTATTTCGCGTCTTGCAAAA